CTGCTTAGAACACTGTCCAGTTCTGGGGCCCACAGTTCAAGAAGGATGTTGATAAACAGAGGAGGGTTCAGAGAAGAGCCGTGAGAATGATGAAAGGACTGGAAAACCTGCCTCACAGTGGTAGAGTCAAGGAGCTCAATTTATTTAGTGTAAGAAGGAGAAGAGTTAAGAGGCGGCTTGACATACCTGGGGGAAATATTTAAGAATTGGCTCTTCAATCTAGCAGGAAAAGACCCAATGGCTGGAAGCTGAAGCTAGACAAATGCAGACGGGAAATGAGGCAGACATTTTTAACGGTGAGGGTAATCACCCATTAGAACAGTTTATCAAGGGTCATCGTGGATTCTCCATCACTGACCATTTTTAAACCAAACTTGGACGTGTTTTCCCAAAGCTCTGCTCCAGGAATTGCTCTGGGGCAGTTCTCTGGCCTGTGTGACACAGGAGGTCAGACTAGACGATGACAACGGCCCCTTCTGGCCTGGGAATCTATGCTTGGTGCAGCTCAGCAGTAGTGGGGGAGAAGGGTGCAAAGGCAGATAGTAGATGCCAATACATCCACTCTCACTTCCCCAAACGTGCCACGCTCCTGGGCCAGTCCCTGACTGTCTATTAGAGCAGCCTCAGGGATGTTCTATGTTCTGCTGGCTGCCAGCAGCCCTGAGCGGCGGCTCTGGCTGGCAGGGATCACCAGAGAATATGGAGGCCCCAGTCAAGGCCTTTTTCCGAAGTGTAGCTACGGGCCTGGGGAGGTGATGTAGGAGCAGGTACAGCAGCATATGCCACTCAGGGTTTCCTCTTACAAGCAGTCCTGCTCCAGCCGGGAAAACTGACTTTGGTACTGTGCTGTGCTTCTGGAGCGGACTTACTGGCCAGGGGGGCCACCCCACGTTGTCTACAACCACGTTTGCTCCACTGTCTGTATAAAGCCACCTTTCCCGACAGAGCAGTTCCCAGGGTGTTCTCATTACGTGCACAAAGCCAGAGCCTGGCGTAAGCAGCTGCCAACATCAGATGCCACTTACTTCTACGGCTCCCACAATGGCAGTGCCTGAGCACTCCCCAACTCCTCTGGGTATTTACCTTCAGAGACCTCGCTCTTATCCCATTCTACAGATGGGAAACTGAGGCAGAGAGCAAGACAGGGCTAGATGCACAAGGGGATTTAGGCACCTAACCTCCCACCCAGCTGCTACCTTGCCCTGCAGGTGCCCAAATTCCCTACATGCTTACGGTCCCGCTGGCAAAGTCCCCTTGGCACCTAAATGTCTCCTGGTGGCCTCCATCCAGCCCTGGTGGGATGCTCAGACTCGGTGCTTTCCCTGCCTGTCTTGTGTGCAGGGCCCAACTGAGGAGGCCGTCTCCGAGCACACCTGCTGGGTCGGGCCCTGCACAAGCGGAGGTGGTGGTGCTCTTTCACCCAACAGCCCCAGGGCTAGAGCGCTCCTGCAGGACTTGGATTCAGGTCCCTGTTTAGCATCAGAGGGGATTTGAACCTGGGACTCCCAGGCTTAGGGGACTGACTCCAGGAGAGGGCTCATGGCTGTGAATCCCAAGCAGAGGCCAGTGCCTCCCCCATCTTTGAGGGTCAAGGATTAGGCCCCATCCTACTCCTCAGCTTCCCCCACTGCCTCGCTTAGCAGCTCCCTGCTCAGCGGGCTGGCTTCTCTGGATCCCGCTCCCCAGGCATCATCCAGGAGCCTGTCCCAGCCAGGGGCTGCAGATTCCAGTGGGCACCAGGTGCCTAAAAAGTTCGGCATCGAAGCACTGGGCCTAACGATTAGTCCACACCACAAAGCTTTACTGGCACCACTGTGCCCCCATCCCGGCCAACACAACTCTGCCAGCAGACCCGCTGGGTAGACACAACCATGCAAGTGCTCCTCTCGGCACCGCTGATGTCCCCCAGGGAGGCGGTGTAGCCATGCCAGCGTCCACTGCCCTGCACGAGCAGGCTGTGCCAGCAAAGGGTCTGCCGCGCAGACTCACCCTTATTAGTCTTTCCTTTTGTGGCTCTAGTCCTAAGTGACATCCCCAGGCCCACCCAGAGCAAAGAACTGGACCAAGGTCTCCGGGTTCCTAGGCCAGCGTCCCAGCCCCAGGACCACCCTCCCTCTGCAGAGCCCATTCCGAGCGGCATTATGTGGGGAGGCCGGCGGCTGCCCACTGAAACGCCAAGCAGGGCCCTCAACCATCCCCGGGGAAGTGGTGGATAAACGATACGGTGCCCACAGTGTCTCACAGCCCAGCAGCTTCCCCGGGACGCTGACCGAGCGCTGCCATTAGCTAGACAGCCCTGGAAACACGGCCAAGAAAGCAGGACGCCTGCCAGCCTCTGAAAGGGAGGCCAGCTTCTGGCCAGGTTCCTTCAGCGCAAGGAGTGTCGAGGCGGAAAGTCAGCAGCAACGGGAGACGTTTACAGTTCTTGCCCTAGGAACGGGGGAGGGAAAAAACAGCCCATCTATTTACAGTGTCTCCCCAGCTGGTGTGAACCCCCCCAGCTCCACTGAAGAGAATGGGGCCAGATCCCATTCTCTAGTTACATCGGCAGAGCTCCAGTGAAATCAGTAGAGCGGAGCCCCAGTTGGTGTAAAGCAGCATCGCTCCACTGAAGCGAATGGGATTGCTGCTGATTTCCACCAGCTGAGGATCTGGCCCATCATACTAGCTGAATTGCACTCTGTAATGGTCTCTGCTCAGTGACCAAACTCCCACAAACACCAGGTGCACACAGAAGCTGGGCACGCTACGCAGCTGCTGCAGGGGGCACGCTGGCTGTTGTGCACAGGGCCATGGAATGTAAACAGTTCAGCGACACGGCTGAGACACGTCCAAGGCAAATGAAGAGCCACATCTGGCCTCTGCAGGAGCCTTTCAACACAGGAGTTTGTATTAAGTCTTGATTCGTGTTCACTCATGGGCTGGCATCGAAAGAAAATTAAGTCACACTTAGGAAGGAGCAGACATGTGACATTCCTCCCCACTAACCCCAACGCTGAACTTCCTGGCATTTGGGAGCCTTCTGACATTCTTTTCAGTTGTTTGTGCTTTGAATCGGGATTTTCAAAGCTGCTTACGAGCTTCGGGTGCCCGAGTCCCATTCGTTTCGACCTTTGGCTAAAACACCCACCTAAGCAACCAGCTGGCAATTGGTTTGTAGAAAAGTCTATAAACCTACCCAGAATTTATAAGGATTCATTATTGACAATATCAGGCATCAGAGGGGAGCAATACTTTTTGAATATAATTCAAGGAAAACCCCTTTGAAAAAAAACAATTTTTACTTCTACAGGGAGGGGGAAAACCCTTGTTTGCTTTAAAAGAAACAATGAAAAAAAGAAAAATCACAAAACACAAACACCACAAACCAGAAAGTTGAATTACAGCATATGGGGTCTGGAGCCTCCGGCCAGGCTCCAGGCCTCCTCCAACTCCCTATTCCTCCCTTTGCAACCAAACTTCGCCAGCTTGCTCTGCTCTGCAGCAGTCCTCATAAAGGACCTTTGATGCTCATTTGCATCAAGCCACAGGCATCCTCTCTATTGTGAGAATCAAAACACACACACACACACACACACACACACACAGGATAAGATTGTAAAACACAAACCACCAATTTATCAAAACATCGGGCACCTCAGAATTCAAAAATAAATGAGCAGTCAGTGCACACCAGTTTTTAAGAGGCGATCACATGCACTTCAAGAAGCCCCACTTTAAAGTCTGTGTGGAGAGCGAGGCGACCAGGTGGGTGGGGAAGGGAAGGATGTTATGAAGAACATTTAGTGATTCACCCTCTCAAGCACCCAAGTGCCTACCTCTGATTGCAATACACATTTAGACACAAGCAGCTTGATGCAACATTCGTCACTGTGCAGTGATCTGCATCGACTACCCCAGAAATGAATGAGCCAATTGGTGACTGCAGAATTCATTAGGAAATGTGCTGCCTGAATATGTTTTGCTATAGAAGGAACTTTATTATAGGAGGGTCACAGGAACAAAAAGGGTTTAAAAAGGAGAAATAGATTTGATGCCTTGTCTAACTCAATAGAGGATCCCTGTCTCCTTGGGGTATTAAAGGAGTTTCATCTCATAACTGCAATCCATTTTATACTCTCCCCTCCCCCCGAACTAATTTTACTGCTGATCTGTATGCAACTGTTAGCTTTATTTCTTTTTCCAAAATACAGTGAAACCAATTTTCTACTAGGCTTTTCTAGTGAGCCCCAGCCTAAAACTAGCTACTTCCAGACTCCGACGTTCCAATGCAGAGACTGACTTGGGGCCCACATTCAAGTTCTCTGCCCTGTGTTAAAAGGGCTTTGCCCAGGAGATTGAGTTGTACGTACACAGCCCCAGTGCAGCCACTCCTACAGCCTTGTGCTCTCCTTAAGAGTAAGGGAAACGCCCAGTGGCCACAAATAGTTTTGGACTGACTCAGTATGCTCCCCTAGTTTGATCTAGCCCACATCCCAGCTTACACCATCTGTATTACTCATGCAACCAAAATGCCAGGAGAGTTGAAGTCAATTAGCGTTTTGGGGCACAAATTCCTAAGATAAGGCCCAGGTAAGTTTATGAGCTCATGCTCTATATGTCAGCATCATATCTATATTAGATCAAATGCAGCATTATATCTACTCTCACTCCACACACAGGCACGGCACAGTTTTCTCTGCAAACATTCAGGGGTGAAGGACAGGAGCTGGTTATGGGCCTCTCACATATCTGGGCGAGGAAAATGGCTTTGCTCAGTGGAATACATCCAAAATAAAACCCAAACCCTATTTTTCTGAGCAGTTTCCTAATTTAAAATCATGTCTGCAGAATATAGGAGTGTACATATGATAAATTAACTCCCTCCTCCCCCATGTTATGTGATGTACTCAGACTTCCAGCAGCTGAGAATCTGGCCCAATTGTATTTTTTGAATGCGGAAAACAGCTAAGGTGGTCTCTTTGTACATTCATCACACGGTGATATTTTTAGACACATACCTCTTCTGATCTCAGCGATGTCTGGACAGTGGGAAAGTAATCATTGTGCTGGGGAGCCCACAGCTTGCATTGTATGATGCAACCGAACGCAATGTGGCTCTCTCTCATCTGGACAAGCTGAAAAAGAAAAGGCCTGGAGTGAAAAATCTATTTTCAAATCATGTGTTCACTTTTAAAGGGGCCGGATGCTGTAACTCTGTGCGGTGGAACCTAGACGTTCGATCACTACTCCAATAGCACCGAGAGGTCTCACCCAAGATCAGGGTCTCACGGTGCTAACCTAGACTACATACAAACACGCAGCGAGAGATCATCCCTCCCCTGAGGAGCTCACAATCGAAATCGACAAGACAGACACAGGGTGGGAAGAGAAGCGGAGAGAGAGGAAGAGACTTGCCCAAGTCCACCCAGCAGGGCAGAGTCAGGAATAGAACTCAGGGCTCGAGTCCCGGTCAGGTGCTTCCAATATCACGGTGACTAACACTACTCTACTTCACTTGGACCGCTACGCTCCGCAAAGGAGGGCGAGTGTCATTATTCCCGTGTTAAGTTGAGGCAACCCACTGTACCGTGTTCCTCCCAGTGAACCAGCAGAGTAGAAAAAGGAAATATAAATTAGAACATCGGGGTGGGATTGGCGCCCTAAGAACACCTGTGATAGGTGGCATGGCAGAGAGACCTGTACTTCAGGCAGGCTGAGCACAAGAGCCCATGTACTGTTTGCCATTCCAGACATCAGTTCTCCTGGATTCGCCTTCTTCCCACAGAGCCTGCAGCAGCTCCATTACATTTTAAAAATGAATTTTTTAATTTATTAAATATGCAAACACCACAATCTGTCTGGCAGCTCCAACTTCATTTACTGCAGGTCATTTGAGAACCAAGGTGACCTCTGAGGCAAAGACACCAAGGGCCATCCTCACGATGGCTGGAGAGAAAACCGTATAATAAAACCCCGCTAAGCCCTCAGTAGTGTGGACTGCCTCATGCAGGGGAAGACTGCCAGCTTCTTTTAAGAAAGGCTTTTCCCAATAACTTCCCTTGGGTCCTTCTGGAGATTCTCTGGTTCCAATAGCCTTTGCGGTGACACCAGAATGGCCCTTCTGCAAGGTTTCATTGGTCTGGCAGAGAAAATTTTGGCCATTGCAGCTACAAGGAGAATTGACCAGATTGTTGCAGCTGGTTGGCGTCAGTACAAACACCTCACGACAGGAACGTACCGACCCCGCAGAGCATCGGCCTTTGAGAGCAGACCCTCAAAACAAGGACCTCAACCCCACGGGCAGACATGCCCCAACACTAATGAGACCAAAGTAGTCAATCCACGACAAGGGCTTAATTTCCAATGGCCCAACAGACACGAGCGTGTGCGAGATGGAGAGGGGAGCAGCTACGGAGCTAGCTGGCTTCACCTCAGGTTCGTCATAGTGGCCAAAGAATCCGGAGAGACGGCCAAGGATGCGTCACCCTCACAATTGCTGGTACCACTGAGCGCGATCAGCCTCAAATGCCTCCACGGTGATCTAGGCAGCTAACTCACTCAGGTGTTTTTGGAATTCCCACAAGGCGCCTATCTGCATCTGTAGGGGCCTAAAGACCTTTGTCAATTTGACCCTAGGGCCTAACCCTATTTTCAAAAGTGAAAATGGGCTTTAGGAGCCTTTGAAAATTTTATACCTAAGGCCTACCCACCACACCATTGAGAGAATGCCTCTCCCATCTCTCATGCGGGTTTCTGTTCAGCACAGAGCTGGTCTGGCAGCATTACTGCCTGCTTTATTAGCGGAGAGACCAAATCAAGCGGAGGGAAGAGGGCAGGAGACATCAGAGATGGCCTCACTCCAAAGTCTGGAGTCCTGAGGGATAGAGAGACAAGAACTGCCCAGCATTGGGCTGAAGACGCTCCCTGCTAGGTTGACCACATGTCCCGATTTTATAGGGACAGTCCCGATTCGTGTGTCTTTTTTCTTATATAGGCTCCTATGACCCCCCACCTCCTGTCCTGATTTTTCACATTTGCTCCCTGGTCACCCTACTCCCTGCTAGTGAGACAGATACTCTCCACCCTCTCTTTGGGTTTATTTTCAGTGTGGTTCACTTTGGAACGCTCCCATCTTGGCTAACTCTGTGACCTATTGTTACAAGCAGTGTTTATAAATAATTTTCAAATAGCCCTTAAAGGACGTGAAGCGTCTTGAACACAAAAGGGCATTCACCCACGAAAGCTTATGCTCCAATACATCTGTTAGGTCTTAAAGGTGCCACAGGACTCTCTGTTGCTTTTTCCAGATCCAGGCTAACACAACTAACCCTCTGATCTGTGACCTATTGTGAGTGAGAACGGGGGGGGAAACAGGAGAGCCGAGGTGGGACCAAGAGCCCTTCCGCTTTGGTGCAATCCGATTGGCGCTTCTGCCTGCTTGTCACCTGATTAGAACAACCGGCCCCTCAGCTCTAGAGTGGCATATCCGGAAGCGTCCAATCGGAATGTCCCGCCACTCCAGAGACAGAAGCAAGTATCCCAAATCCTGTCCCTGCCTTATTTAGGTCTGCTCCAGAAAGCCCTTTTGTGTTCAAAACGCTTCACGTCCTTTAAGGGCTATTTGAAAATTATTTATAAACACTGCTTGTAACAAGCCCAACCACTCAATTTAATATTCCCCTTAATGAAGGCTCCATTCCTTTCTTCTTCTCTTTCCCCCTAAGGAGCAAATAATAATGTTTGTTCATGGAAAAATACATTGTAAGGGATCATTGCCATGCAATCATATGCACATCTGTTCTTAACAGGTTTCAGCTGAAACTACTGAAAATATACATAGGTCTACTTATGTGGAACAACTTAAATATGATAAGATTACAATTTGGAGGATAACAATGTGTTTAGCTATGGAAAAAGTAAGCCCCTTTCTAAACGCTCTTTCCACACACAATCATAACTTTTTACCACATATGTTGTCAAGGGGACAACATTTGTTGAGGATTAAGAAAGAACCCAGCATTGCAAGATTAGTGGCAAACAAACTCAAGATGTTCTAACATCTTCCCCACGAGCATTTAACTCCTGCATTACTATGTAATTACGAGTGATAGCCAGCCCTACCACTCCCCAGCCATTAAGAATGAGCAAAGAAAAGGCTCTAAAAAGCCCAATTTGGTGCTGCCGCCACAATGTGGTTGGGATCGGGGGTGGGTGGAGGGGGAAGACTTTCCTCTTCCAGCGTGATTCCCCCCAATTCTGCACTAACATTCGCTTTGGGATTCACAAACAGTACTTGGCACTGGACAATAAGGCGGCGCACCAGGAAGCAGCAGTATTAAAAATGTGCCATCAGAGAGCATCAGCTAAAATTAGCATCTGACAAGTCCTCTAAGGAAACGTGACATTGTCAGTGGGTTTCTCATTTCCCACTACACCCTGCTGGGGTATTCACCTGTTTTATTAAATCAAAAATGTCCCTAATTTAACAAGCTGCACAGTGGAAAACAATAGCAAACGACAGTTTCATTATAGCTGGATTTGTGGAGCAAAGCGATTATGGTGTAGCTTGTACTTTCATTCACTCTTTTTTTACATTAACTTGTTAAGGCGATTGTATGTTTTCAAGGCAACTATGCAAGCAAATTTTAAGTCGCTACCCAGTACTCTCCTTAATATATGAAATGCCATGTCCTAAATTTCTTTGTAGGAAAACTTTTGAGATGCACAATGTCGGAGAGCCCACTCACACAGGCACTGTTTGGAAAAGAAGGCAAGTAACTAGGTGTCTTGGGAACTCTGACCTCCAAGCTCCTGAATGGTCATTTGCCAGAGTTCGACCATGCTGGGGAGACATGGTCTTTCAGGCGTGCAATCATTAGTGCTGAAAGGAAGCTCTGGTGGCTCACCTTTCCCATCGCCCGGCATTGTGCCACAATTTATTTCCTTATCCTGAAGCCGTCCCTGATAGATGGGGCCTGTCAAATTCACGGCCTCCTCATGCAGCCTCTTCCATTCGACTCACTCATCTAATGACTAGGAGGATTTCCCCATATCTCTAATCCTAAAGGTTTGCTGCTGCATTTTAGGTCCAGTTTTTCCTTCTGGTTCTGCCTTTGTTGACTAATAAGGCTAACTGCTCCCTGGTCTCTCAGTCACAGCACCTTCTGTACTGATAGGCAGTTACTGTGTCTCCTTGCTGTGTTCTTTTTTCTGCACTCAACACGGTGAGCTCCGAGGGCGCAGTTCTCATTTCCATGGCTCAGTGCAGGCATGGAGGGTGCGGAGCGGGCTGCTAGCCACTGGATAAGCTTTTGTTCCACTGCCAATGGCCCTTACTACCCAGAGCACAGCACGGCTATCTCCAGGTCACCTTCCCCCTTAGCCACACCCCCAAAATCCATCCAATGCTAAGTCATTGTAGCCATCATGGTCCCAGGGTATTAGAGAGAAAAGATGGGTGAGTCATACCTTTTATTGGACTGACTTCTGTTGACGAGACATTGGCCCAAGAAAAGATAAGACATGACCTCACCCACCTTGCCTTTCCATTGCTAAGGGCTGTCATGGGGCAAGGGTGTGTCATAAAGCCAACTCTCTCAAATCTGCATCATCCAGGAAACTCCCCACACTGAGATCTTCCCTGGGTGAGAAGACTGACTGATTGCCGCAGGCTGTCAGAAAGCCACAGGGTGAGGGAGCATCTACCACAAAATCTTTCTGCACAACAACTTTTGCTTTGCAACTTCTTCCATGATTTTGTGAAATTCTCCATTTCTGGATTCTATTGCAGACCTGCAAGCATAGTACTCCCGGCCAGGTCTGAGTAGTGCCAACCAGAGAAGGGGAGTAGTAACTGTTCACGATTATCCTTAACTTGCATTAAAGCATTTGCTTTATATTGTGCCTAACTGCAAAAATAGCCCCAGTGCTTCCCAGTAAAACAAATACAAAGAAAGACCTTCTAAAATGACTTCTGCTTTGGAGTGCCTCCATTTTTGGCTGTCCATCATGAGTGGATTTGGAGACACTAGGGGAATGGACAGTAGCAGGTGACATGTCACTTGGATAAACAGAAGGTGAAATATATTGGCTGAAATACTGGAGTCCAAGATTTCCTATTCCAGATGGATTCTGC